GGTCTCTACTATTGCACGCAAAGCAGAGATGGGATATCATTTAGAAAATTCTACAAAACAAATCCCTGAGATAAGAGCTAATATCCTGTTTAATAAATCTGGAAGATCACTGATTGAGGTTTTCTATAAATGTTCTGGAGTGCTGGCCGCTTGTATGTGTCCACGCTGGTCTTTAAAATTCTTATTTATTTATCTTGAACTGTGTATTTTCAGTATTGGAAATTAAAAATGGAAGAAGCCTAGTTATATCCATCTTTCACTTTTTGCATGATGTATTTTGGGCAGTTCCAGAGGACTTTGCCAGTCAGAGTCCCACCGGGTGAAGCACATATGGGCACAGCAGCTTGAAAGAATGGAGCAAACCGTCAGGATTTTGTCTAAAACCACAGTGTCCTTAGGGTCAGGCCACCTATGGCTTTCTAATACAGACACACTTTTTTCTGTTTATGTTGGAAACTGCTAAGATATTACTTCTGTCATGCATAGCAGTCACTAAAGGTGACAACTATTTAAAAGCCATTTTCATGTGTGTATATATGGGTTTTATATTTTGATGTGCATAGGCAACTGAAGTGGACACGGTGCATCCTGCAATTAAAATCAACACAACGCTATATTGTTAAAGAGGAGCTGAGATAGACTTAAATAAATCAAGGGGTAGTAGTGAGAAAAGGGAGGAGATACTAGTGAATATTAAAACAGAACAGTTGCATGCAAAGTTTTATGTTTATGCGTTCTGTTAACAATTGTCCAAATATGCTCACATTATAACATACAGTGTTTCATTAGTAATAAAACGTAAAATCACGTATTTTTCCCCCTTGAGTGGACATCTGGAAAAATCCTGGAATAAACACATGTTTTTAGCAGAGAGTTTTTCACAGTTTTTATGCTTGAAGAAAAGAATCCTGACTGAAATGGTCACAATTAGTGCACAAAAGCTTTAAGCTCATTGAGCTAAAGTAATCAAAAATTGGAGTAAACTCTGACCGTAAAAAATAAATAAATCCACTCCCTGTTTAATCTCAGAAGACGAGCATCTGCTAAGCAAAGTAACCCCATCCAAATTATTTTAAGGAAGTGTCCTTTTCAAGCCAAAATCTATTTTGGTTTAATAGTAAGCTCCAAATCCAAAGATTCCCATTTTACCCAATGCTTTTTTTAATGGTGAGACACAGTTAACACATACTATTATAGTTTTTATTGTACAGAAACAATAGATGAGAGTGAATGTTCCATGCATTTAGTTTCTGTATTACTTGTGCCCATGTTCTTCAGAGGTATGTATGTCTGTGTGTTCCACTTCATGTGTATCACATGTATTATTATTTGTCGGAAAAGTTAAGCTAAATGGATTGTACTTATATGGTATATAGACAAGATTCCCCTGTTTTCTCATGCAGAACCTCTTAAACGAGGCCACACAGTGCTTCTAAACTCCATCACTCACATTCAAACATGATGGATGCGAGCATACTTTGACATGTAAACCGGGGAACTCGGACAACTGAGCTGAGCCACAGCTATTCTGATACAGAAACCTTTCTTTTTTTTTTTTTTAATAACCCTTTGTTCTTTTAGGCATCAGCAGACTGCAGAGGTGGGAGAGAGCAAAGCTTCATGGCCTGGACCCACCTGAGGAGATCAGAGACCTGTTGCTGCAAACACACACTGACCCTGAGTACAACCTGAGGTAACACACACACACACACACACACACATCTACAAACAGGTTTATGAGAAACAATGCTGAAAACACCCGCTGGCTCTCACTAACGTCAGGCTTCTGTGCACCACAGGAAATTGTAAAATTAGCATCAAGCTTGGCTTTGTGGGTCATTTCAAACTCAGACAGAAATGGCTGCAGCTGTGAGCCTGATTTAGTAACAGAAAGCCGATTTACATAGAGACGTGTTATGAAAGTACCAGGCTGAAACTTCACACGGTGACAACAACCATTCGTCTCTATTGGCAACACATTTAGTTAATATTGGATCTGGATGATGTTGTATAAAACAAAAAAAATACAGTTAACTCAACATTTGAGTTGAGAAGAAATATAAAGTTTAGATGAATTACAGATGTGTCCAAGTAACAGGGGTCATGCAGTTTGTGTGGCCATACCAAATATTTTTATTGTTTTTTGTTTTTGTTCTGCAGTTTTTTAACCATTGATTTGGGTTTTCTATGACAAAAAAAATTAAATAAATCCAAATAAGCCCTGCAGAAAAAGAGCATTGGTTAAAACATGATCCTATGCCACTTATGGAGGATCTCACTGCCTAAAAACACTGAACAGAGTCTCTCACAGTGTGTTTGTTTCTCTGGCTTAATCATTCTTTCTTGTCAGATTCTAATCTCATGTTTAACGGATCTGCTTATCATCATCGTGTTCTGTCTTCCAGCCTCTGGAGCGAATATCCTCTGTGAGCACGACTTCACGAAGCAGATGGAAGGCTCCAAAGTGAACTGGGAATTCTGTGTACTTAGTGTATTTAAAGATGGATGTTTTCTAACCATGTTTGTAGCCACCGTTGTTACTCTTTACTCAAAGGTTTTATAATTTGTAATAAACAAATCCCACCTGATCACGCCGTCTCTCTGTTGTGTGATGGACAGTTTAAGAAAGGACAATGCATAAACAACGTGGTGAATCAGAGACCAGTGACCAATATAAATCCTGTGTTTTTCTTTTTTCTGGCACCTCCCATGTGAGGCGCACACTGACATATATTCACCTCAGTCTTTTTATAGTTGACACAGACTCTCTGTCCTACTCGCAGAGCTATTAAATATTCAGTGGAGTGATTTAAGTCTATGACATCAGTGCACGCATTGCATTCATTGGGTTGTAAATTAGTCTGGGCTGTTATCTAAAAGGATAGGAATGCAGTGATTGGAACATTTAGAATTAACAACACATACGCTGTTACGGATCCCTCTTTTTTACAATGAACAATACATTTACAGTGTGCAGTAAGAGAAAAAACAAGTGTTCGTTAGCTTTATTTCCTTCCATTTTTGTAATTGTAGAAACAAAAACATCGATTGTTTATCGTGGGCTTGCAAAACTCTTCATTAACTGTTGAGGGCAGTGCTGATTCTAACGCACTGTACATTGGAAAATGAAAATAATCACCCCAAATTAAACATATTTTTCTCCACATCACAAGCGGAACGCTGGAGGAATGGTAAGGTGTCTATGTCATAACTGAACGCTGATTGGCTCCCACGTCCGTCAGTCAAGCGCGCGGTAGACGCACCGCCCGTTGATTGATCGAGAGCCACGTAGCTGGGTTCACGGGCTGGAAATGAACCTATCGTTATTTTGGGTGGGCGGGGATTGGGAATTTCTACGCGTCGATTCGTCAAAACGAGGCATGGGTTCAGTTTCCTGGTGTCTGATTGGTTAGTTTTCAGCCCGTTGCTTCTCTACGACGGAAAATACCTTTAATCACGTCCAGCGCTGAACAGCGTCAAGCTAGACAATGTTACGTGCAGTCACAGGAGAAGCGTTACTTTTTGAGTCAATATAAACGTTTAAACCGTAACGTTTTCACCAAGAAACAGTTTAACTTTAAAAAAATTCCTTAGTAAGGTTAACTTTCCCCCAGTATTCCTTTATATTACACACTGACACGCACGAAAGCCCCAGATTAAGCTCTTACTTTGAAGTTTGACACCGGATGTTGTGTTAAGAAGCGACATCTTTTCTGCTGCAGACAGACTAAAGATACTCCTGCAGATAGGATAAACAATTATAATGCCATATTGCGTGAATTCACCGTCGTGAACTATATTAAGAGCCTTTATTTTGCCTTAAATTGGCCTTTGTTTTTAGAGACAACGTTTTATCCCTCTGAATTCGTGACGCCGTTTTATTGAATTGCGTGTGTCCTCGTTTTTTCCATTTAGAAGCATCCGTGAGGGTATAACGGGGCAGTCTGTTGTAAAAACTAATTTCCGAGCAATAATTCGTCTTTAACGCAGACAGTCGGAAGGGATACAACGTCAAAACACATGGTGCTTTAGAGTATCTTCTTCAAAAGGGACGGCTAGAGCTCAGAAGAGCCACGGACAGACAGCCCTGGTAAGCAACCTGTTCACTCCGGAGGATTAACGTCAGACATCGCGTTAGCTCACTAGCATCCTAGCTAGTCACAGCCCTGTTGCTCGCGAGCTAATCGCTAGCGGCATACTCAAAGGCTTTACCGTTTTTTTTTCTTCTCTTTTAAACCCAACACACGAGCATTAACGTCCTACCAAAAAATAACGAATAAGTCCCGTCAGTTGTCAGCAATATTTATGATATTTAGTTTCCCTGAAACCAACCTTACCTGGGACAAAGTTTGTATTACCCCTGTCAGCATATGTAATAGCTGGGTCATCTCTATACAGTTTAATTAATTTGATTACTTCTCTGGTTTGGAGTTCTTAAAATTCGAATTATACGTCTGCAGATATAGAAATTAATATTTTTTTAACGGGGGCCTTCAAAACTAGTCGTAAAACAGTGTTGTTAAAAACTGAAAATGCATCTCAACATAAAACACGAATCCATTTTTATTGTTTATGCTAAAGTGAAAAGGGGTATTTCTTTAGAATAAGAATAATTGAGCATCGTTCCATGATGAGATGCTTTCAAGGGCTGCAAATGTCCTACAAATTGACGGCTGGCCTTCCATTGCTCGCAAAAGGCTCTTTATTTCTTATTATGATCCAGCACAAACAAATTGGTGCTGAGGCTTTTCTCTAAAGAGCAGCGCAGAAAAATATTGTGCAGGGTGATGCAACCCCACTGGGAGTCTCAGTGGGTTAAAGTCTGGGCTTCCTAGCCATACATGACATTGCATTCCCAGCCAGCTAACGCTGTTATGAGGTTCTTTTTCATGCCTTATGATGGAGTTCACCAGGTGTTTCGGACTGTACAAACTCTTAAAGAATATCTGTGTAGTGGTAAATAGTTAGATACAGTATTTGGAATAAAGAAGGTCATGGTTTAATACTTAATTGGCAGCTTTTTTTTCTCCCCTCACAGTGATGGATAATGCTCATACGAAGACAGTGGAGGAGGTTTTGGGCTTCTTCGGCGTGAATGAATCTACAGGTCTGAGTTGTGAGCAGCTGAGGAAAAACAGAGACAAATGGGGACCAAACGGTACAATTATTTAATTTATTTATTTAGTCTCATTGCTCCAATTCGTAATGTTTTCCCTGAAAAAGATGTGTCATTGAAGGCAGCGGATGGGTCTGAAAATGGGGTCTCTGATGTCATGTTTTCTTCTCTTATCCTTTTTGCAGAACTACCAGCAGAGGAAGGTGAGTCATGGATTTTTATCTATATCTGAGCTTTACGATCTTGTTTTGGATGTTTGCTAACTGGAACTCGGCCTTGTCCAAAGCAGCCCTCGATGTGTTCTGTCCTTTTTACACTCCACTCTGCAGGGAAGTCGCTCTGGGAACTGGTCCTGGAACAGTTTGAAGATCTGTTAGTTCGAATCCTGCTGTTGGCGGCATGCATCTCTTTTGTAAGACAAATGCACACGCATCCCACAAATGCACTCACAAACCCAATAACGCATATTACTTAATAATACATTGACTTTTGTGTTGTCATGGAAAACAATTGAAACATAATGGTAACACAAAATCCCCCGTTGGAAAAAGGAATCGAACAAAAACCCACTGATGAGCAGCAGTGCTGTTTCACATCTGTACAGCCGTGCACACGTGCCTGACTTTTGACTCTTCTCTGTCCTGTAGACTTTGGCGTGGTTTGAAGAAGGGGAGGGGACCATCACAGCCTTTGTTGAACCCTTCGTCATCCTCCTCATCCTCATCGCTAACGCGATTGTTGGAGTTTGGCAGGTACATGTGTGTGGATGAAGTGTTTAGGGGCTCGGCCTTTCAGTATTACAACTTCTGACAACTTGTGAGCTGTTTAAAAAAAGAGCACAAACCAAGCAGGAAGGTAGAATACTGATAATATTACAAAGAAAGTTCGAACCAAATTGAACCAAAATAGTTAGAGATGTAATATTCTTTTAATGAGCAGTGGCAGTCATCCATCGACCTTCAAGCAGAGAGAGCTGGGGGCTTTTCGGAGACGAATGTAGTAAATCCTAGATGGTATCACACACTGTGGCTTTCAAACTTATATGAACAGATTCTTACACTTTGATGGGCTCATGATTTTTTGGATCACTAAATACAAGACTTCACTTGTGTGCAGGATAAGACGGTATAAACAGGAAACAGAACAATGCCTGTTTAGTTACTGTCAAATGTAAAGACATGTTGTCTTTAAAAGAGTTCCAATTAAAACAAAAGTAGATCATTTGATCATCGGACAGAGATTCTGAAATCAGCTTTCGTTCTTCAGTCCATCCTTCGCTGCTCACTGAGTATCTAAACTTCATATATATCTTCAATGGAATTTTTTTTTTTTTATCTCTCTATCTGGTACTGCAGGTAAGTCATATCATTTTATATCCTTCGTACCTGAAGTCATCAGTTCTGGTAACTGCAGGTTTGCTTTGGTTCACTGTGCAGGCAACAGAAACCCGAGCACTCTTTGTTCTTAAGAATTGTTATTACAACTGAATTAAAAGTAAAGTAGTTTGGACATAATGTGTATAATGTTAAAGTAAGTATGTCTTCACATTCCTTATAGCAGAGAGGGTTGTTGTACATTAACAAGCAATCATGCGTTGCATTTAATGGATATCATCTGGATTATATTAAGAATGAACATTTTACAGTACCTTAAATAAATACTAATGATGTGCAGTTTTCCTACATTTTAAAGCGATTCTTCCCAAAACATGTGATCATGTGAACATGTTTGTTTTCTTTTTGATGCCATGAAGCTCCAGATGAGTTAGACTGCTCTTCACCCAGTCAAGAGGAATCAACAGAAAGTAGAATAAATACTTATTATTTTTTCCCAAATTCTAATTGTTTTTCTTAGGTTTCTATAGTTTATTTGGCCATTTTACTGAACTTTCTATTCCCACTATTCTGGTATTGTTTATGTTACAACCAGAACTGATAAAGACCACTCATAAAAAACGTTGCCCAGTATCAGTGGAGAAGAACACCTTCCATTCATCAGGAAACACAGACAAAGGGACGCAGCTCAAACAGAATTCCTGGGTGAGGGCCGGCATGGCCGCGACTGCAGTGGGCTCAGACTCAGCAACTCTGAGCTGTAGAGACCCTGTAAAGTCTGGTCTGACGGCACCCCCTTCTCTTTTTTTTCTTTTGCTTAGACTGCAGACTGTAGGCTCAGTTATGCACCAACATTTACAGCCTCTGGAGCCACCCCACCCTGTGTGAACAGTGGAGGATGCAGGTGGTGGTGTAATGATGAGAGGGATTTCCTTATTTTAGCCTTTTAATAAAACAACTAGTCCTGTATCTGACACCACCAATTGATTCATTCCCGGGCAGGTCACCGTCCCCTCATGGCTGATTTTGGGATGTTCTTATGCAATGAAAGAAAACGAACATGTTCTGAAAGACAGCGGATCACAAACGGCTAGAATCCTCCAGATTCAGCTGAAATACGAGCAAAAGTGGTTTGATAGCGTCACACGGCGAGACGTGGCGCCGCTCTGATGTGCCTTCTTTGTCTGGCTAATAAAAGGCTAAAGGGTTGTTTTACAAACATCAAAAACAATATCCTGCAAATGCTTAAAAAAGGGAAATCGTTTAGAAAAAAATCCTCCGCATGCACCTTTGGTCGTATTCTTCACAGAATCAGGCTTTTTAGCTTTGAATAATATTTAGCAATTGCTGGATATAAAAAAAAAAAAAAAACGGCACCTTAGCACCAAATTTTTGCGCTTTCTTCCAAAAGTTGGATGAATTCTACCATGAAATGATTTTTGAACTGACATTTTGCTGTGAAAACTACATTTAACTGAACTTGAAGCCACATTTTTTTTTAGGAATCTACTGAGGTAAAGAAAAATGCTCTTCATTATTCGTGGTGTTTATATATAGAAAACAGGGATTTCCCTAATGTATTCACGGGAGAGTGGGAATGTAGTTTTAGTGTAAGTCTTCAGAGCCTCTCTGGGAACGAGCTGCATGTGGGCCATGAGGCACAGTGTGGTTTATTTTGTGTTTTGGTCGACTGCTTCCTGTTGACCCAAATTTAGATTCAAGGCCAAACTTGACCAGCCACTGGTTTTCAAAGCCTTCCCATGTCTTTGCCATTTCAAATTGTGGAGTAAAATTTTTCTAATTCGGACCAAAAAAAAAGATTTTCCTTAAAAAGAACCCTTAGTGTTTGTCCTCACAGCTTTGTTGGAATCAGTTGGTTTTTTTCATGGAAGTTTTTTGTAAGCTTTCTTGTTTGTGTGTCCCTTTAGGAGCGAAACGCAGAGAACGCCATCGAGGCTTTAAAGGAGTACGAGCCTGAAATGGGCAAAGTGTACCGGCAGGACAAGAAGAGCGTCCAGAGAGTCAAAGCTCGAGACATTGTTCCTGGAGACATTGTTGAAGTTGCTGGTAAGTTGGAGAATTCCGTAATTACATAGCTTTCATCACAAAGTTTTCACAGAGATCTTTAATATCATCAACAATATTTCAACCCAAATGTTATTTGGCCACCTATAACATTATGACCATTGACAGATGCATGTTAAGCAACATGTAACATTTTTTTTAGTTGAAGTTGTTGTGAAAGCAGAACAATTTGAGCATGCAGAAGGATTTTAGGCTTTTAGGCAGAAGGATTTTAGGATTTTAGGTTGTGATATTAGCTTCAGCACATCTTTGGGGATGGAGGACTTATGTCCAGCGGTCTTGGTGCTATCGGAAAAATCCGTCCACTGAGCGTTCTCTGATCCCAGTCCAGTCCTCAGTGTTATGAGCTGGCTCTTCATAACGTTATTCCTCAGTGGGTGGTCGCTCCTGGACAATCTCAACAAGATTGGTGGTCCACCTGTCTGCTGTGTTTCTCCGTCTTCTGTGGAAACGAATCCAGTTTTTCTTTTTCCTTCTCATCCCCTGAACTGAAGGTGATGGGTCATGGCCTGCAAATCCTCTGCCCGTTAAGATGTTTTCATGCAGTTCTCATATCTGCTATAGCTTTGGTCCAGAAACCATTAGCCCTACCCCACAGGGGGCTTATGTTTTCGTCACAACTCAGAACTAGAGTCTTTAATGACATTTATTAATTTACATTCAATTTCCCTCTGGGATGATTGAAGCCATTTTGAATTTAATTGGATTTTGAGCGATTACTTTTCTAAAGCAAATGAGAATTTAGTTCTAACCATATTAACAACGAGGCTCTTTAAGGTTTTACAGATTGCTTGTGAATAATCATCCTTCATTCCTTTAAGTTATAAAGTATGCCGTCTTATCTCTGTTACGCACCCAGCCACACTTTCACACTGTGAATGACGTCTAATCTTCAAAAGATCATAGAATTATATGGAGAAATTACGAAGTAATGAAAGCCTAAAGGGTTTTTACTTGCATTTATGTCTTCTGTCTTGTCTGTTCGTGGGCCTTCAGTGGGGAGATCAGCAGAACGAAGCACGCGTTTCCATTTCACGGTTGTTTAGACATAGTTGGAACGACGCTGGACGGTATTTGTTTAGTCATTCCTGGCAGCGCCTGCCAAGTCTGCCATCTCCTTCGGCCGATATTGTCATGGTAACCTAGCAAGGAAAACAAATAGCCTCCACGGAAAAAATGTTTATTGGAGCACAGCTCTGGAGGGTTTGCAGTGAATCCGAACAGTGGTTGATGATGATGATGATGATGATGCATGCCTTTTGCACTAACGATTTTCCACTTGTTACAGGATGTATTTTTACCGCAGCTGTCTTGTGTTAGTGTCCTAAAGCGTTTGAAAACATTTGGAGTTGATTTCTAGCATATGGCAGCACTTGTTCTCAGTGGTGTTACTCTTTGTTGAACCACTTGATGACCGAAGAGGAGGTAACATTTTGAACCGAGTCAGCAAAGTGTTTTTGAGCACATTTTGGGCGTTTCCCGGTTTTTCTGTGCGATAAGGCCATGACAGTTTGCATTCATCTTTATCCTAATTCAGTGCTGCCGTCTTTTGGCTAAAAGTCAGGTGAGAAATATCTTCTGCTGAGGCCACACTTTGCGGTCACCTGCATCCCCATATGCATTCATAGAGAAATGCCCAATAAAAAACACTGAGATTGTTTTTGATCCATCAAGAAAACAGCTGAATTCTTCTGATGGATATTTCAGGCTCCTCAGAGAGAGGAAACGTCTGTGTGTCTTTTTGTTAGTGTGTTCTCTCTGTTGTAGAGTCATTTGTTTCTAAGAGCATGGGAACTCTTTGACTCTTGTAGTGGGACTCCTCGCTGCAACAGTCTCATCACAGCATTATGTACAGTTTTGATTTGGCAACCTGTGTAAATAGAGCTTTTAATAACTAAAGTTATGTAAAAGAAGATTCCCACTCTTCATTCTAACGTTTCCATGTTAGAACGTTACCAAAAAGTCTTAACATGTCTAAAAAATTAAGCCTGGAATGAAAAAGTGTTATCATTTTTTTAACTAAAAACTCACTTAAATTGCATAAAAGTGATCCTCTGTGTGCTATTAGACAATGCATCTGTTCTATTATAGACGGTCACAGAGGAAGTATGGAGGCAGGGGATTCTGTTATCAACTGCTAGTTAAAGCTTGTTTATTGTTTCTTACTAATAAATCATTGTAGTACCACTGGTCATTCCTTATGAATCTTTTTACATGTAGTTCGACAATGTAACCTAATAAATACCATAAAAATTATTAGTAAACCAAAAGTATGAAATGCGGTACACATAAGACTGATGGAGGATCTGAGTGAGGAAGCCATGGAATTAATGAGCAGAGGAGGGTGTTTAATGAAGGAAGAACCACTTCCTCTTTGCTCAGGTTACATGTCTGGATGCAGCTACGGACTGTTCAGTAATTTTTTTCCAAGCGTTCTTGGGCTCATGTGGTTCTGTTTTTCGTTCCATTTTAAGCTCTGGATGTATTTGGTTCAAAATAGTAGGCTGTGATCCACTCTTGCTTGGCAAGTCCAAACCTTTGGTAGATGTGCCTTTTATGCCAAGTGTGGTATTTTAGCTTTTTTATGTCAGTTTATGTGTGTAATCCCGATTCTGGAGTTAGATTCTGCAAAGGAATCTCAGCATTTTGCAATGTAATTATATATCGACCTAACTCTGTCTGCAGAGACGTTTTTGTGAAAGTTGTGACCTGCATGTGGGTTTTTCTCTACTGCACTGCAATATGAGAAGTGTTACATGCTTTACTCATTAGTGGTTTAATTTAATGGCTGATTATTGTTGTGTTGTAATGAAAACTCATACACAACTGCACAGTGCAAACATTAGTTTTTTATTACCGCTTCTTGTGCATATTTATTGGGATGGGGGAGAGCGAATACATTCATAAACATGAATATAATCACAATATTTTTTATAAATTCAACAATAAAAGGTTATTTTCTTTTCTTTTCTCTTCTCTTTGTCCCACACCCCCAATCCTCCAGTTGGTGATAAGGTCCCAGCCGACATCAGGCTGACATCCATCCGATCCACCACCCTGAGGGTGGATCAGTCCATTCTGACGGGGGAGTCCGTGTCAGTCCTCAAACACACAGACCCTGTACCAGACCCCAGAGCTGTTAACCAGGACAAAAAGAACATGCTGTTCTCAGTGAGTCCCGAGCGCCACGTTTCTATTTGACTTTCAGGATCCACTTTTCACCACGACGACTCACTTGTAGTCAGAAAATACCAAAACGAAAAAAGGCCTGAAGGACTAGCACAGGTTATGCAGACAGGATTGCGTGTGTGATTGTCAGCATCTGGTTGCCTTTCTGTTGTGTTGAATTCCACCATCGTCTGTAGTGGCTAGTCTTGAACTATTCCCACCGAAGCTGGGCAGCTGCCCCAAATACCCAGTAGCACTAAAAAATCTCACACTGCTCAATGTGTTTTAAGACAATTCTTGTAGCAGTGAGCAGGGCCACTGCATAGAGACAGCACTGAATCAACTGTCCCTGAAAGCTGGACACTGAAAAACTGTACACCATTCTCAAGATTAAATGTATTAGGACGATTAGTCTGGTCCCAAAACGAGGTTAGAAAACAGCCTCGGATCATATTACAATGTCCCCATTATTTATTCAACTGAAACGAAGCAGGGATTTAAAAGAAAAAAGTCTGTGTGTTTGTGATGTCTGCATCATCATATGTGACAGAGCTCAAATGTCACTCTGTCTTCAGGTGGGCTTTGTCAAAGATCAACAGCCTCTTATTTAAAAAAAAAAAAAAACCCTTCTGTCTGTGTGGTTGTCGCCCGCTTTGATGTAACTGCACGCTGTGATGTGAAGGAATATATCCAAATCGGATTTTCTGCCCAGGGTACCAACATTGCAGCCGGTCGGGCCATTGGGGTCGTCGTAGCGACAGGGGTGCAGACGGAAATCGGGAAAATCCGAGATGAGATGGCCTCCACTGACCCCGAGCGGACCCCACTTCAACAGAAGCTCGACCAGTTTGGAGAACAACTGTCTAAGGCAGGAACCAGTCCATCCGGGCTATTCCCCCCTTTGCCGTGACTTTTAAAGAAACTGTAGCATGTACTGAATGAATTGTGGTCATCTGCAGGTCATCAGTTTGATTTGTGTGGCCGTGTGGGCCATCAACGTGGGCCACTTCAACGACCCGGTCCACGGAGGCAGCTGGCTGAGGGGAGCCGTTTACTACTTCAAGATTGCCGTGGCACTGGCTGTAGCTGCCATACCAGAGGGTAAAGCCCCCCCCATGATCGCCACGCTGTGTATTTCCGCTTTATGTTTCGGAGCTGGTTTCGTGCGAACGAGGCCAGATAATGTAACAGATGGATTCGGCCGCTCGCTGTGTTCCCTCTCAGGACTCCCAGCTGTCATCACTACCTGCCTGGCCCTGGGCACCAGGAGGATGGCCAGGAAAAACGCCATCGTTCGCAGCCTGCCGTCGGTGGAGACGCTGGGCTGCACCTCGGTCATATGCTCGGACAAAACGGGCACGCTCACCACAAACCAGATGTCGGTGTGCAGGGTAAGGGTCACAGCACCGGCCGAGGCGCCCCGTAGATTCCGCAGCTTTCATCACTGATTCCGCACTCCCACTAATCGCAGATTAACATGTTCTCCTTCTCCGAGCTAACATTAGATGAACAAAAAGGGTTCGTAAAAATCCCGGCAGACAGCGGGCGAGAGGCGGGGGGCCGCCAGTCCATCGCAGGGCCACAAACCTTTTATTCAGACCAGTGAATTAAAGTTTGAGAGAAATTGCTCTGTACAAGCCCGTAGTCAAATGTTAGCCTTTACCTTTGCGGATGTGCATCTCTGTTAGCGAACCACAACAAATGAGTCATCATTGAAAGCACCCACAACAAAAGGTTGTCGTTTTTGTGTAACTTGAATAAAAATAGTGACACAGTTTCACACTGGTGCTCATCAGTCTTTGAGCTCACAGCAGCTGTCCTCTAGCCGTCCTTAGAAAGACTTTTTTCTTTAGTTTTTTAGATATTCATCTCACTACTGTGTAGTGAGATGAGCCACTTCCCTCTATATTTTTTTTTCCAGATAGTTCCTTCTATGTTGAGTGTACATGTGTGAGTGGGGTCTCTTAAGGAACTCTGGCCTCCTCCCACAAACCAAAAACATGCATCAGCTGGTCATTTTAACAGAACCTCCCAGGTCCGTGTGGCCCCGTGATGGACCTTTTTAAAGTGTACCCCGCCTCGAGCTCGGTAGCAGTTGGGATGGGGACAGGGAAATCTCTGAACAGGGAAATGTCTCTAACCTATATAACTGCTAATGGAAATGTTGGTCTGGTTAATAAAGTGGTGCTTCTCTATGAAAAAGCATGAAGATCAATGCTAGAATGGATTGAGATGCTTTTTTTTTGACATGATGAACTAATCAACTACTCCATTGTGTTATGTCTGTGTGGTTTAGATGTTTGTAGTGGATAATGTGTCAGGAGATCACTGCACCATGAACGAGTTCACAGTGACTGGATCTACTTATGCCCCTGAAGGGGAAGTGTGAGTGTCCTTAAACTTTAACAACTAACACTAAACCTGTGACAGTTACAGATGTTGAGTCTGTGTTTTTAAATAGGGTAAATGGGCAAAAATGACTGATTGATTTGGTTTTGCTGTTTCCGTCTTGAATTAATTTTCTCTGTTCTCATCTCTCTAGCTACAAGGACGGCTCAATGGTGAAGTCCAGTCAGTATGAAGGCCTGGTGGAGCTGGCCTCCATCTGTGCGCTATGCAATGACTCATCGCTGGACTACAATGAGGTAATAAACGCAAACATGGCTCCAGCAACAGCTCAGACCCTCACAGATCTGCGATCCTGAAACATTTAAAACTGACTTATTTTACCACAAGTTAATTTCAGGGGTCAACCGCTTCCTTTAACTTATAACTCCCTGTGCTTATGCCCTCCAGGGAAAGGGTGTGTATGAGAAGGTCGGAGAGGCAACAGAGACCGCCCTCTGCTGTCTGGTGGAGAAAATGAACGCGTTTGACACCGACCTGAGGGGCCTGAGCCCCGTAGAGAGAGCCACGGCCTGTTGTTCTGTAAGTGTGTTTGAACCTCATTATGATCCTGTTACCTTTGTACAGCTTTGTTATTGTTATTGTCCTCGTCTGTGAGGGAACAAACCCAAAAAGTTGTAGGGCAACGCTCTGTTTCCAACTCGGTAAACATCATTGCTAGATTCATTATCCAAAACTACGAAGAGCAGGATGAATGATGAGATCCAGATGATTTCGGCAGTTAATAATTCCAAAACTTGTAGTATCAAACAGCTTTCAGATTCAGGAAGTAAAAGACGTACACATGCATTTGTAAAACAGGAAACAGGCATTTCAGGATGTAGAATGAAGAGTGCAGGTTTGAATATCATGAAGGAGTTCATCATTAGATGTTCACATGCACATTATTATCACTATTAAAACATATTATTGTGATATACAATATGTAACATGTGATGGAGCCAGATGTTTTTATACCTTAAAAATCTCATGAATGAACGCACGCTCTCAGCTTCCATTTTGTTCTTGCATTGTTATAGCATGTAATCTAAAACTGAGTATTACTATAAAAAACACTCAAAAGTTTCCTTTTCCATTTCTAGAGACCTCTGTGGGACTTTCTGTCCAAACACTTATCGACTCTATTTTTTTCTTACAGGTGATTAAGCAGCTAATGAGGAAGGAGTTGACTCTTGAGTTCTCCCGAGACAGAAAGTCCATGTCCGTCTTCTGTTCATCCAACAAACTCACCAGGTCAAGCACTGGAGCGAAGATGTTTATCAAGGTCAGTCACACGTCGTATTTTATGACACCTTCAATCAGTTCCGTTCAGTGTTATCTGTACAGCAGCAAATCACAGCAATGCCATTTCTGGACACAATAAGATCTTTGATATGACAGCTTGCTCGTCCAGCTTTATATGTGAGAAGCAGAAGTTTTATCAGAGCTCTGTGTGCAGCATTTTAGATCAGCTGGAGCCTTTTCCCAGCCTACGAATACAACAACAGTATTTATAAGTAATTACAATAGTCCAATCCGGAAGTTACATTTGCAGTAGATTTTCTTTTTCATCGCTCTGAGTCACCATGTTACCAATTTTTTGGGGACTTTTTTTTGGGGAGATTAAAGAATTTAGGTCTAGAAACTTTAAATCTTTAAATTTGTTTTAAATCTGGCACTGGTCAAAAGTAGCTTCAGGGTCCCATACTGAAGGACAGGGCAAATTAATTGAATCTAAAGTAAATATATAACTAGACAGTTTCTCCCTGAAGTGCTCAGGTCCAAAGGGACTGCTTCAGTTTTTGTCTTAATTTAGAAGTTGAACATTCATCCAGGTCTAAATGTATTTCAGACATGATTGAAGCTTTTCCTTGATTTCTTTAATCTGTTTTTTTTTTTTCGCCCCCTGGCTATACAGAGACGTTCATGTATCTCTTCTTTACATTTCAGGGAGCTCCAGAGAGCGTTTTGGAGCGCTGCAATTATATCCGCGTCAGCGGCTCTGCCCGTGTGCCTTTGACCCCGAGTGTTCGAGAGCAGCTCCTGACCACCGTGCGGGAGTGGGGATCAGGGCGAGACACACTCAGATGTCTGGCCATGGCCACTAGAGACATGCCCCCTGACATCCACAGCCTCAATCTGGAGAACTCAGCTGCCTTTGCCAACTACGAGGTACTAATCAAGTTGCTAAGACTTTATAGTTTCTCTTATAAATTCAACGTGTCATACATCTTATTCGTATCGTTGTGGATCTTGGTGGTTGTTTTTTTCCCCAAAAAAATCCGAAATCCAACTTAATTTATTTCTCTTGTCGGTCCGTGGCTCTGATGTCTGTTAAAGAAAGCAGAGAGTCCAAACTTTTTCCACTGTAGTTTACACCGTTTCACCATCGCTTTTCTTCCTCCCAGTCGGACCTGACCTTTGTGGGCTGCGTGGGGATGCTGGACCCCCCAAGGAAAGAGGTTCTTGGTGCAGTTCGGATGTGTCGCCAGGCTGGCATACGAGTCATTATGATCACAGGTAAGCACACAGATAATGAGACACAAACCTTCATTCAAATAATTAGTCTAATAAAGAAGAAGAAGAATGGATGTAGAGTTATGTTCACTGCTTTTGAGTAGAACTGATCCATTCGCCATCTTCTTTAAGCTATCTTTCTTACTTTGAATGCCCATAAGTAATACAGTCTGTCCCGAACTGAGCCTGAGCGTTGGCTCTTATTTAAAGTTTTTTTTGCGAACCGAAAAAAGCAGATTGGCCTCTGTTTTTCTTCTTATCAACAAGAGCGACTGAAGCATTTGGAACCCCAGTGAACCCCAGAACAGTTTTTTTTTTCTTTACGTTCTTTCTTCTGAGCTGGACTAAAGAAATTTCTTAAAAACATCAGCAGCTCACCCTCCCGTTCTCCTTTAGGGGACAACAAGGGGACGGCTCTGTCCATCTGCAGAAGGGTGGGCATCATCACCGAGCAGGAGGAGCAGCAGGAGGGCGCCGGGGTCAGCGGCGGGCTCACGGGCCGGGAGTTCGACGAGCTGCCGCCTCACCTGCAGCGCCAGGCCTGCCGGACGGTGCGCTGCTTCGCCCGCGTGGAGCCGGCCCACAAGAGCCGCATAGTGGAATATCTCCAGAGTCTGAGCGACATCACTGCCATGGTGAGAGCACCGGCCTGTATTTGCATTCACACACACACACGTTAATGTGTAGCAGCTTTACTTTGGTTTCTTTAAAAAAGAAGGACGCCACTCGGACCAGGAATCAGGATCTGCACATTTATTCCACCTATAAGAGTAGCCGGGGACAGGGTCAGTACACACACAGGCCGATAGATGCTCTCAGTCTCCAGTGCATAAGCTTCCTGAGTTTTTTTTTTCTTTGCCATAATATAAATAAAGAAAATACTCCTGTAAATTAAATGTACACACCAAAACAATGTGTGCCCTTATAACATGTAAAATATTGAGTAAAAGCTGTCAAAATATTACACATGCTAAGTGCATTACACAAGAATAATCACTCATTGAGAAAAATGTGCTTAAAATTTTAATATATAGCTTATCCTCACTTTAAACTATGCAGTCCTTTAGTAAAAAAAATACTTAACAGAATTCAGATGAACAATTTTATACCATAACACACCTATAAGAGTAGCGATGGACACGGTCAGTACACACACAGGCTGTTAGATGCTCTCAGTCTTTCAATTTAACGAAACAAACGTTGGTTTTCACCGACCAAATAAGCGTAAATATATTTAACAATGCGTTGGCAATGCTATGGTTAAGCTTATATTCAGTTTAAGAAAATGATGCTAGCTTGATAATTTTCACAACACACCTTACCGGTGCTGAAGCCTCCTGAGTTTAGGCGGGCAGGTAGAGCTACGTCACTATCGCAAATAAGATTATTTGTAACATGTGCAACATATTGACACAGCTACAACCGCACCTGTGTGACTCCCCCTTTCAGACAGGCGATGGAGTGAACGATGCTCCGGCCCTGAAGAAGGCCGAGATCGGAATCGCTATGGGCAGCGGCACCGCTGTGGCCAAGTCAGCCTCCGAGATGATCTTAGCTGACGATAATTTCTCCACAATTGTGGCGGCCGTGGAGGAGGGCAGAGCCATTTACAACAACATGAAGCAGTTCATTAGATACCTGATATCCTCCAACATAGGGGAAGTGGTCTGGTGAGTGGGAACTTCAATAATAAAAATTATTTATCCTTCCAGCTAAAAAGCTTGGCTCTTGTAGTTTTTTTCCCAGTCTTTTGAAACTACAGACGTGTTATGAAAGCAAACTTTGTGCTCTCCTCTTCTATCTGTGCCCTTCAGTATTTTCCTAACGGCGGCACTGGGAATGCCTGAGGCCCTGATCCCGGTCCAGCTGCTGTGGGTCAACCTGGTAACCGACGGTTTCCCAGCAACCGCCCTGGGTTTCAACCCTCCAGACCTGGACATCATGTCTCGCCCTCCCCGCTCTCCCAAAGAACCACTGATCTCCAGGTGGTTGTTCTGTCGCTACCTCATCGTTGGATGTGAGTCACGGTGACATCATTTAGATCAGAGACGGTTTGATGTTCTGAATATCCCCCTGTGCCACACCACAGGATTTTATTTAGTTATTAATCACTGCATCATCACACTCCCTTCAACGAGAGTCTGTTTTAAAATCAGCTAAATCACGCAGGAGTGGGTTAAATTTTCAGTGGGATCAATACTGCTGACCTTTTACAGTCCATTACATCATCCAAAAGTCAGTGTCTGGTCAAACTGTGTGTTGTTTTTTTCAGGTTATGTGGGAGCAGCCACTGTCGGAGCTGCAGCCTGGTGGTTCATGGCCGCTCACGATGGACCAAAACTTTCCTTCTATCAGCTGGTGAACTTTTGTTTCTACTCCATATTCCAATTTAGAGTTGTTAGATGTTTGCAAAGGCTGGTGCTAAGGAAGGAATATTAGAATGGCTAACCATCTCCCAGATTGAACCAGATATACGACACATGAGTAATCAGGTATGTGATAGCCATGTTTCCCCCCTGTGTGCCCCACAGTCTCACTATCTGCAATGCAGTGAAGGCCATGTCGAGTTTGCTGGTGTGCAGTGCTCCGTCTTCGAGTCGCCGTACCCCATGACGATGGCTCTGTCCGTGCTGGTTACCATAGAGATGTGCAACGCCTTGAACAGGTGAGAACAAAGCATGGGCTCCAAACGTAGGCAAAGACATCCACTGCCTCACGAGGGAAAGAGATTAACCCAAATGGCGCTTTTTAAAACGTGCACTATGTCTGCTATAGGCCGAGTGTCATTTCAGTCAGTCATTTGATTCGGAAAAAAGAAAAAACAATCTACCTTTCTCCGTAGGAAATCATTATACATGTTTATAGCACTGAAATTGCTGCTTAGATGTTGTTTTTGAATGATGATTTTGTCAGAAAAACTGTAATTCATTAGAGCAGAGAGACTTAATGTGACACTTCCACACTGAGATGCTGTTTGTCAGCAGATGCTCAAAACAAAGAGATAATTAAATAGAGCTATTTTTAGCTACCATCAGGCTGCCGTGAGCCCCCGCAATAACGTTGTCTGAGATCTCAAACGTGGAGCCGGAAAGCTATTTGTGTTTGAAGCTGCGTTGAGACTGGAGCTCCCTTTGTAATGTTAAAAGCTCTGGCCCGAGCCCAGGAGGCGGCTCCTTTCAGGTAACAGATGTTAGTAACACTGGCAACAGTTGAAGAGATTTCCCCCTTTTTTTTCCCTCTCCAGTCTTTCGGAAAACCAGTCCCTGCTGAAAATGCCCCCCTGGTCAAACCCCTGGCTGGTGGGGGCCATCTGTCTCTCTATGGCCCTACACTTCCTGATCCTGTACGTGGACCCACTGCCGGTAAGGATTCCTGCTTATTTATGGTTTTTTTTGTTTTTTAACAAAGACCATCAGATCTGATTCACACAAAGTAAAAAATCCAGCCATTTCTGGAGATTCCGCTCCAGAAGATACGTCACTGCGAGGATCAAATCGTCCCCAAATCACCTACGCGTGCTTGTTCCCACAGGTGGTTTTTCAGATCCGGCCTCTGTCCTGGACCCAGTGGGTGGTGGTGCTGAAGATGTCGCTCCCCGTTATCCTGATGGACGAGGCCCTCAAATTCCTCGCCCGCAACTACATCGAGCCGGGGAGCCAGATCCAGGTAAGAAGCAGGTCCTAATTCCCAACGAAAGACAGAAGCCTCCAGCCCGTCTAATCCCCGCCGTGTTCCCGCCTCAATTCTGTTCTCTCCCCCACACAAAAAAAGACGATAGAGGAGGAGGAGCTGCAGAGGTCAGCGGCCGGCGGAGGACTCGTGGGCGCGGCGGTTTGGAGGCTGCGTCAGTCGGTGAGGGGCGTGTCCTGGTCATTCGTCCTGGTCGCCGCGCCGCTGGTGATCTGGATCTTCAGCCTGGACTCCGACATCACCAACATGTTCTGGGAGTGACGGAGCACAAGAGAGGACAGGAGGGCTGCAAGGGAAACACTGAGACGCAGGAGTGAAAGAGGGGCAAAGGAGGCAAAGAGATGAAGCAGAAGTCTGGGCGTTTGAGGGGGAGACGTGTAAGATTTGAGTCCGCGGAAGATATTTATTTTTTATGAAAGCAAAAGCAACGTTAAGGGGGATGGTTCGAGATCAGTCTGCCCACTGACAATCAGGAGAGAAGAGGGAATATGGAAGGCATTTTGATGCGTTGGCCTCAGTAAAGAAGGTGCTATGTGTAGCCCTGTTTGTGTTCAAACCCTTCATCCCTCCTGCTTACTTACACGGCACAGGCCTTTTCCTTTTGGCCCATCCTGTGGGAAAAAAAGGCTGACCAAAAAGTCTACATCGCATTTTTGTGTTCCTTAGCATGCTGAAGCTTGAAGTGTTTTAGCTTAAAGTGAGTAAAAGGGATGGAGGCCAATTAAAGTGGATAACGATAAATTAACACGGTTTCCGGAATTAGCATAAAGATTTACTATTTATTATCAGAATGATTGCTCAGTCAGCAGTTGCTTTTCCAGCCAGATTCTTACCCAGATGCACACACACAACACAGTGCTAGTCACCAGTCATTTATTATCCTTAACCTTTTTTCACACTACACCAAGATTTTGATCCTTTTAAAAGAATGTCTAACGAAACATCTGTAGCTCTACAGTGCTGTCCAGCAAATAACAGGACAGCAGAGGCGTAACACTCCTAATCATATTCAATTTAGGCTTCTCCTTACTCTGACTTTCTTAATAGCGACATTGTACTAAGTTTTATTTGTCAGCTTCTTATTTCGTTTCACGCTAAATGACTTCATAGATGATATGCGGCTCGCTTAATGGGCCTTGACCAACGTTCACACCAGAACCGTCCCGCTCTTGACGCTTTGTGCTCTGCAGCCTTCCTGTCAATAACTTCCTTTGAGACTAAGAGACCAAGCGCCCGCTTTTCTTAGTCTCCGATCCTGCAGAAACGCAGCAAAAAAAAAAACAAGTGTGTGTGTCATCTTTGGTTCTGTTGGACGTGTAGCGTTTTGTTTTTATTGTTCCTGACACTCCAATGTCTTAAAAGAGAGCTCGACTCGAAACAGCCGTCGACCAGTTCCTGAGATATATATATATATATACCCAAGCTGAGGCTGGGCTGAAGCTGTACCTAAGCCTTTTCACCGGGGATGAATTTGCGAGTGGGCTATTTTTCGTAAAATGTTGAGTAGAGTTTGCTGTGTCCTCCCACGTGAAGTCAGCATCTAAATGTCTGTGTGTGGAATGGATTGACGAGACTCCGGGGTCCTCGTCCCTTTGTGCAGCTGTCGTTAGTCAAACCTGCTGCGTTTGGTCGCTTCCTGTCAGATCTGCTGTCCTTGTGTCAGGGTCCAATTCATTTCCCTATCGGTCGAATTTCTCCCGTTTTCTCATTCGGCTAGCCATAAAAGTTTTCTCCCTTTTTTTCAATTATTTTTTTATTTTTAACTTATTTGGATCGCCTGTTGCCCTGAGGTGAGCTTCAGGATTACTGCGGGTGGGAATAAAGTCCATTGAATTTTAAGTATGCTCTTCCCCCTGGCTGACCCAGAATCGGTCTCACCTCAGGCCCAATCTCCTGTGGTCATCATTCTGTTATGAGATGTTCTTGTGGTGGTGATGGACTCCAGGGAGTACCCCGACCCCCCGCGCCCAGGGACAGCAGACCCCTCCCATCCCCTCCCACACAGGTATAGAAAATGAATCATGATCATGTATAACTTTACTTTTTAAATTCATCGTAGCTCTCTTAAAGACTTTTCCTGTGAAGCTGTAACTGTATCAGAAATATAATCGACACCCTTCTTATTCTTTGCTACCCTCCTCTCTTGCAACGCTCTTTCTTTTTTACTGAAAGGTAGGAAATGAAATGATACGTGATATGCGCTTCAAGCATTTATAAGAAACAAACTTCTGATCTTGAGGTGAAAACCGGTTTTATAGATTTGTCTCTCTTCTGTACTTCCTTTAGTCATGTGACGGCTCTATTTATTCGAAACCATAAGCGCTGGGTTTATTGTTGCTCTTTTTGAAAAAAAAAAACGAGTCTGAAAATGAAGATGAACAAGTGCACGTTTGTCGTAATGAAGTTTTTTTTTACACTATTAAGGCAGAAGCAAGTACTTATTTTTCATTTGTATTTGTAATCTTTATTAATACGTCATCGTGCTGCAAAGAGGAATGGAACTGTCATTGTTTTTGAAATATTGTAATAAGTTTGTTTACACTTCCTGTTGATTAGCTGACGCTCATGTTCTAAAGAGATGGAGTGATGTAGGAGGATCAGATTGTCGCCCTCTTGACTGACTCACCTGTTTGAATAAAGGTTGAACTGAGGAACAATTAGATTGTTGTTTAATTATGTTTTTCTGCTCTTCCTCGTGTGCAAACAGCATTTAAACTAAAGAAACATTTGACAGATTCTGTTTTTAACCTGGGTCATTCTGTATGTTCTTTCCATGATTTATGTCAGACTTGTTTTCAGGAGAAAATATCTGTATTTATTAAGATCTACATCTGTATATCTTTAAGCACATCGTTGGGATGCTGATGATAACAGGTGATTTTATTCCCGTCTCTACAAAAAGCCGGACTAAGAGAAGCTGACGCTGAAGGTCGGTAGAACAAGCCTTAAATGTACATCCGTGATCTTTCATCCCTCAGACAGCATCATCACTGAGAGCTGATTGAACCGTTTGGATCAGGGAAGGTCATTTTCTTTTTCTTTTTCAGGTGCTTTTAACACCGTACAGCATTCGCAGCTTGTGAGACTGAAGCCCTGTGTATTCAAATTTTCAGCACACACAGGAGTGTATTCTCCATGCGTCTTCATGCTGTATACCTCAGACTTCAGGTAAAATAGCTGTACTCACACACTCCTTTTCAAACTGTAAGAAACCACTTTTACACAGCAGGCATCTTTCCATCACGCACAACGTTTCAGTTCATACATTCTCACACACCAGTGGATGCATATACTAGTAACGTTGCGTTCAGAGCCAAATAGGGAAGCCAGGACCCTTCTGATTATGAGCCCCCCCCCACCCAATGAGCTACAGCCGTCCCATCACTTTAAACACAGCTCCAAGTCTGTGACAGAGTTCGGTCTGCTTTACATCAGAATGTTTGACTCAAAGACAATGACCAAACTGCTCAATTAGGCTTGTTTTATTTTAGGTGCTGCTTTACAGCCCAGAGAGCTGATTGCTCAAATGAAACTGGTGTACAAGCTGTCAAACACCGCATTTTCCCATTTTGTACTCTTTAATATGATGATAGTTTTCCTTTACAGTGTAAGCGCCCTTCTGTTTAAAGATAAGCTCTCTTTAAAAATCAGTTGGAAGTGCTTCGTCGATTCATTTGACACTTTATTTCATAAAGAAATGGACTAATGCAAAGCCGTGTTGACTTTTGTGTTCTCAAATGCAACTGGTGTGAATAGTGGATACACGCATGCACATCAAACCAAATTTTGTTTGAGATATTTAGAAGAAGGAGTCAAGAGACTAATCCTATGTGAGCATGGGGTTGTATCAGTGTCCTGTAAAGCTCATCCACGCCTTTGTTACGGCAGCGTCAGTGCAAACGCGTTCACTGAGGTTTTAGAGCAGCAATAGTGAGTAAAGGTCACACCTTTTCTCTAAAGTAAACTAAAATAGATATAAGTTATGTGAAAGATGTGTCAACATTCAGACATGTTGAAAACATACTGTCCGTAAACAGATAAAACTCAAAGAAGTGTTCCTTAGCTCTGACATGCCAACACATGGCGGCGCCAGTGAGCACGTTTTCTGCACATCAGAGGGACCCTTTTAAAAAATGAACTTGGTTGAATTTATATCAAATAAAAAAACTGCAGCAAAAAAGATTTGGATTAAAAAAAAAAAGAAGAAGAGAAACAGTAACCAGAAATAGCATTTGTGTAGCCAAACTTAACATGTCCCAAATCACGTTGTGTGTCTGACCACCTTTATGTGTGTGTAGCTGGTAAGGACAGTGGGAGTGGACAGGCAATACTTTGGACTCCATTTATAGACACAGGGATAGTCATCGTGAGCGCTCATGCACCTCCTGTACCAGTGAACAGAGCAGTCATAGTGGGAAGGTCATCTGCATGTGGGTGCGAGACAAAGACTTCCAACAGAATAAAGTATAAAGCAGAATCCAACTTTTTTTCTCGTTGGGACGCAAAGACAGCAGCGAGGACGGTACTCAATCTCCTTTATATGTAGTCGTTGCTCCCTGGTGGAAAACGTCTGATAAAGTAAGTCATTTTTGGGATTTGAGCACGGATTTTTCCCTCTGAAATGCCAGGTTTTTGTGTCTGGAGGGCAATCGTGCTAATGTTTTCACGTTAAGCTTAAGTTGGCATCTTTTCAACCCTGAGGGCTAACAGGCACAAGCTGGAAAATACAAAAGTCCTAAATCAAATCAGGGAACATGGATGGATAAGGTTTGTGAGCTAGGATGCACCGAGCATCCCTGTAAAATGGTGTGTGGATTTAGTAATATAAGAGCTTTAATGGAACCTCTGCTTTAATTTCAAATTTAGTATATTCTCATTTTTAAAAAAAGCATACAAATACTGTTTCTACATAAAATATATCCAGAATAAACATCACTGTAAAGCATCGAGGTCCCATCCAAAGTGACCAATCACAGCTCAGAGTGCCAAGAACAGTTCAGAGACAGAGGAACTGCCACACAGAATCCCCCCAGCGGGAGCAAATTTCAGAGAACCCAGAGGCAGGTTTGACTACCTGTTGTTCACAAAAGGCACAAAAAACTCACAGGATGGCCAAAATAGTTAAATAAATTCCGCCTGACGTCACAAAACCAGCAGATAACTGTAAAGGTGAGCACACTCGCAACGAAGGAGTGATGGGAAACAAAAAAGATGACAGGAAGATGTATGCAGTCTCAGAGTCAAAGTTGGAAAAACTTCCAAATGTAGCTGGAAATTCCAGGGCTGGGATCTTGTGGGACACCCAGATCCATTCTGAGAAACAGGTGATGGCAGACCAACAAAATAGAGAAGAAAGCATTTGTAATAGATGTGGCAAATCCATCAGTGGACAGTGGAGCATTTTTAAAATATCTATATATACACACACACGCAGGAAA